AAAAGACGAGAAACCATTATGACATTCTTTGTTCATGGTACTGCAGAAGAAAATTCTTTATAAAATTATACCGTAAAAAATGAATGCACCACAGGAACTAAGCAGATCAAGACAGAATCTACAAATACAATACCATTTTCTTAAATAGCGAATGACACTTGTACATTCTAGCACTAATAAAAAAACATATTCATATAGAATAACATGAAGATCACAGATAACCTAAGAAAAACACCTTGATCAGTTTAGGCTTCGTAATGTCATTTTCAAATTGAACAACAGTACTTGTGAGTACATATATGCACAAGCACATAACTAGAAAGCAGAAATGAACTCTAGAAAAATATGACTTAAAATCAGGCTTTATGATAACCCTTTTATACGTAAATAAAAGAGGGTACACATATATGTCTACACACAAATGTGCCGGAAGCCAATGATCTAGATGATAAAACATAAATGATTATAAGTTCTATTTGAAAAGGTATTCAATATAAAAAACTTGTCGATATAAATTTATTAAAGAATTCTAATATGTTGTTAACCAAGGCCATACACATTATTATTAAAGTTCGAAAAAGGAAAGGTTCTGTTAAATGAAAAAGAGAGAGTTAAAAAGAAAATAAAATAAAGTAAGAGGAAATAAACAGTAGTGGTTCTATGTTAAATTCAAGAGGCAACTGGAGGAAAAAAAAATGGAATGTATCAATGTCATTATATACTACTACTGCAACCATAAGTAAAGAACTGTATCATTTATTCAGCAAAAAAAAAAAAAAGTACTGCATCATTTGTCCCTGCTATAGCTACTGACACCACCACCTGGGAGAAGAATAATTTGACTCTTTTTTTTATTTTTGCTTTTAAAAAAAAGAATAATTGGACTTGCACCGACTCATATAGATTTCTGTCAATAAATAAAGTAAATCAATGACAAATTTAGAGAAAAATGTATTAGGAATGTTATTGATTTGGGCAAGCTTGTAGGGAGTATTAAGGTAGTTGTGAGTGAGGGTAATTAATTTATCAGAATCTTTCTAAAAGAGTATAAGAAAGTTTTTGACGACATTACGAAATGGAAAGTATGGAGCAAATTAACGTGGTTTCCAAAGTATTACACTAAGCGTACGTTGAACTAGTAATATATATATATATATATTGGCCCGCTTGAATTATCATAAACAAATTGTATAGAATATAGATGCCTTTTGAGTTTTAAAGGTGCGTTTGGAATTAGTTTCAAATGATTTTGTTTTTTTGTATGAAAATGAAAACGAAAACGTTTTCATTTTCGTTTTGAAATTATTTCTGAAAATGCGTTTGATAGTTTTATTTAGAGATTGATTTCAATTTAAAAAAAAAAAATTGAAACTGTGTTTAGTGGTTTAATTTTTAAAAACATGTAATAATATTTAAAATAATAATATATTAAATAAACGTGATTATATATACATGAAAACTGCAGAGAGGAAATGGGAAGAAGGGGGGGGAGGGGGCAGTCGAAGAAGATGGTGGCGGGTCAGTCGGAGAGGAGCATAGACGGTGGGCTTTCGCTGGATGTCCCAAGCCTGCGTCTTCTTCGGCCGAGTCTTCATGTGGTGGGCCGTCGCTTTCTTGTTGGGCCGAGACGAGCACTCTATCACCACTGTCGCCGTTCCACGGGGCTGACTTCCTCGCGCCGGCAATCGACGCCGGAGCAGATGAGATCCGTACTGCCACGATTTGAGCTCCGAAGAAAGCAGTCGGAGAAGAGAGAGAGTAATGAAGGGAGAAAATGAAAAGAAAAATGAAAAACAGATTTAATCCGTTTTCAGATTTTTAGAAAATGACAAAAATGTTTTTATTTTTTAAAAAATTTTACACTAAACGCATTTTACGTACGCGTTTTTATTTTTTAGCCTCAAAAAACGTAAAAAATAGAAATAAAAATAGAAACAAACATGTCCAAAGTTTTGTACAGAGTGAAAAACATCTAGTTGAGGATAATCAAAAAAGGGAAAATCACGAGTTCTCTTAAACGACAGTGTAAGCTTTATCATGTCAGACATGCAGGTTAAAGAGCATACTAAAGATTGCATCAAACCAACTAAATTTCTCCCCTTTGAGACATATTAGAAAAAAGATAAATGTAGCGTCACTGTTTTTATCATTTTTTTATCACTTTTTTATTTTTATTATTTAATATTATCAATTTATATATATATATATATATATATGTGTGTGTGTGTGCGTAAATTATATACGCTCCCCTGCACCTACACCATCCTTTACGTGGCAAATCCCAACACATCATAAGGCGGTGCACAAGATCTCTTATTATTCTTCTACAAATTCTCTCTCTTTCTGCACATATGGCGGTGTAATCCATATGCACTTTTCCTTCTCGGAGATAACAAGCAAAGTGGACACAAGAGTGACAAGCAAACGATAAGCTTACACTTGGATTCTATAAGTGGACACTGCGAGTGCCTGATCAGGAGGATCAAGCAAATAGGATTGTAATATATATATATATACACACACACACACACACAGGCACCTGGTGCTTCTTGTCTATATAATTTACAGGCTTTTTCTTGGCCATTTGTGCAGTCTTAGTACTTTCATATTCCACCTTATAAAGATTAAATACCATTAAATTAACACAGCCTAGTACAAGTGTGATCACTAACCTCGAGAAAAGAAAAAAAACACACAACACAGAGCACAAAAATCCAATGTGATCAAAAAACTAAAAACAAAAAATACATGAGCTCAAGACTCAAGATCCACAAACAAACAACATCACCGTTAGATCATTATTTATAGATCTAGTGATGGTAATAATATTTACGAATACCGATGCATTTATATAGCAGAAGATACCCAAAACCCATGCATGCTATGGTTTAGGGTTTTCATATAATTAGCTTCGACTAGGTGGTACTATAAGAAACAAAGCTGGAAAAAAAAAAAAAAAAAAAAAAAAACCCCTTCAATTACAAAGGGGCATATATACATGAGAATCAAATGAAACAAATAATTAGTTCAAAGAGAAAAATAAAATTAGTTAAGGGAAATTTTAATCCGTATAATAGAAAAGAAGAAAATATGCATACCTTAAATTTGTAGGACCCTAATGTTCCGCTATTCTTTGAAGCTTTTCTCCTCGGGTAAGAGATCATCGTCAATATGACTAAATTAATGGTGAAAATTTAATTTGACTAATTCCAACTAGCTAGATGTGAAGGATATAGAAAAGGGCTTTGTCATGTTGTTGTGCAAACGGTGATCGGTGCCGCTACTTTCTTAGTTAAAAGATGGTACTGGAACCTTTCCTTGATAACAATAATAATGATAATAATAAGGGAAAGAAGGTTAATATACCCATTGGTTAAATTTTTTATTTATTAAATTTGTATAAAATTATATAAAAATTAAAAAGTATATAAATGCATTTGTTAAAAAAAATCTGACCTATTTATATACTAAACGTATTAAAAAATCTCCTAAATAATAATTAGAAAAACCTCTAAAAACAAATAACAACAATAATAATTAATGATATAACAACAATAATAATAATAAAAGAAACCCTCCAGAAACAAAAACATTGAAATAAGATAGAAACGTCCTACAATAACTCTTCTCCTCGCTTCTTCTTCTTCTCCTCGCTTCTTCTTCTTCTCCTCGCTCTGTAAATCTTGAATTGTTGTTACAGTGTACAGTGTACGACACTAAATTGCTCTTATTACAAATTAAACTATTTAAAACTAATCAAACAATTAAAATACAATTTTTAAGTCAGTGATACATTTAGTGCTAAACCGCTTTATCACTAATACATGGTTAGAGGTGTCAAAAGGCCCAGCACGGCCCTTCTGACCCCAGGCCCATCACAGGCCTGAGCCGGCCCAGACACTAGAGGGTCGGGCTTGGACCAGGCCTGAGGGGAGACCCTCAGGCCCAGCCCTGGCCCCCGGGCCCGGGATTGTGGGCTGGCCCTATTAATGGTCTTCTAGGACCTTCATAGGGCCGGCCCTTTATGACTTTATTGGGTTGGCCCTACTAATGGTCTTGTAGGACATTCATAGGGCCAGCCCTTTACGACTTTATTGGGCCGGCCCTACTAAAGGGCCTATTCAACGGCCTAAATTATAGTCGTTGAGCAGGCACTGGTCGACCGGTGGCTTACAATTTCTGTGCTACCAGACGACAAAATTACATTGAATTCCTCTTAAAACTCAATTTTAACATAATTTTCTTAATGCACTTGAGCTTCACTTATGATTAACAATTTTTTTTTTTTATAATTTCATATTGATGACAAAAAAAAAGTAATATATCATATGCCCCAAAAAAATATGATTTTATTGAAATAATATGAATAATTACAACAAAATGACTGATTGACTGGACAACATAGGTCGACCGGTTGGTACTAAAATGCCTCAAACCTCATTAAAATTTCATGTAACGGGCTTAGGCCTTCACGGGCCGTGCGTAGCCCTTCGCAGGCCTGGGCCGTGCCTGGGCCTTGGAGGGCCTGGACCGTGCCTGGATTGCGGGCCTCAAACATGAAGCCCAACCCAAGCCCTTCTGGCGTGCCAGGCCGGCCCAGCCCATGACAATACAGGGCCAGGCCGGGCCGAATTAACCACTGTAGTGGGCTGGGCCGGGCTGTCTATGGACAGCCCGGCCCAATTGATACCTCTATACACGGCCATTTTCTTAACTTTGCACAACTTAGGTCATTTATTAAAAATAGTTCAAAAAACGTCCATTTCTTCACACATCCCTTCTGTTAACACCATAAAATTTCCCCTTTTTAATATATCCCTAAAATTTGTCATTTCCCTAAATCATCTATAATCTAATTGACTGATTGAATTGGATAATTGCTCACTCACATATCCAAGTACATGTTACATTATTTGCTTAATGAATCCTTGTTAGCAAACAAGTATATTAAAGAAATTGGCAAAACAGAACTATATGCTTTGAGATCAGAAATCTGTTTGAATTTTTTACTACTCCAGAATCTTCATTGACAACACCCTAAACTGGGCGCTAGACACGTGCGTGGAAGTACATTGCAAGCTTTAAATGGCATCAAATGTATAACCTAAGCGAGAACATTGAATATAACAGCACTCGAACTATGATCAAGGTTACTAGTACATTCCAAGTAAATTAGGAGCCACTAAGATCTTTCTCCTACAGTTGAATTCAGTATAAATACAACATATATGGTCTATTTGCAGTCATAACAATCCAAGCTCTATCATTATACAAGGTAATCCTGAAGACAATTTGTTACAGAGTGATGATGGAAAATCGGGATTTTTATCATTACCGAGGTCATGGTGCGTTCCATGGCCTTCATTTTTATTGTTTTCAGTCTTGAAGACAATTTGTATTTTCATTCTTCTCTTTTTTTTTTTCCTGACTACAACATCACCCTGAGAGAGAGAGAGAGAGAGAGAAGTGGTTATCAACACAAGAAGGATACACAGATATACAAGAAGTTACGTACGCTTACTAGATTGCATTAGATCTTTAAGTTGAGCTTTCAAAAGAGCATGTTCATGCCGCATCCTCTCAAGTCGGGCCTCAACCATGTACATCTCATCTTTAAGGTGGTGAACTCGCTTCTCCAACCAAACCATGGCTTCAGACGATCTTCCACCAACTCCGCTGCCTGTGCTCATCATGTAGTCTGCTGGAGAGTGTACGTGGATGTGTTGGGGTCTCGCTAGAAGCACAAGTATACTCAACTGAAACAAAGGTAGTATTTAGATTATGTCTGTTTGCAATTGAGTTCCATAAAGCAACAAGAAATATGCATCACAGTTGAGAGGCACAATCTTTCGACCGAGTTAAATACTATAATGTCAATGAATAAATGGGAGCCCATTAAAGCATTACAGGAACAGTCTCTGAACCAGTTGCCATTTTAATTGAGGTCAGTAATTCTATTATAGAAATCCATTAACATTTCAAGTAATATACAGGTGATGGACGATGAGAGATTTTAATGTTCATTATATAAACCCCCCACCCAAACACACAAAATATAAATAAATTAATACAAGACAAGAACCACCGAGTACCACGGCCTTCCGATGTTATTGCCATAATTTGTTATGCAAAACATGGGAAACTCTAGAAACACTTCTGAAGATAGAACCAGCTCAAAAACAAGTTAGAAAATTAGAAACTATCTAGGCTCTTTTCGGGCTTGCAATCCACATTCTAAAAGCAAGCATATGTTGATATAATAGCAGTCTTTACTAACTTGGCCAGAGCAAGTTGGTTATTCTACTTGCAATCCACATTCTAAAAGCAAGCATATGTTGATATAATAGCAGTCTTTACTAACTTGGCCAGAGCAAGTTGGTTATTCGTAGAATAAACAGAGACACAACACGAAGGATTAAAATGACAACATACCTGCATTAAGAGAATCACGAAAAAAATGATAATCACGACCAGGGAAAGATTGCCTCGACTTTCCAAAGATGAACAGAATCTTGTAAATATTTCTCTGAGCCATGATGCAAAAGAGGAAGCACCAGCCAACCTTCCTTGAAACAGATTGCCAAGTTGCTGGTTAGCATTCTGTGTTCTTGAACGGTCGCTTGTCTCATGCAGCCTTCCTGATGATTCCACATCTTTTGCTGCTCTTTCAGAATGAATTTCACCATTTGGAACAACAGTAGCAACAGGAGTTTTCTCTGCTTGAAATAAGGGGGGAAAACATATATAAAAACAGAAAAATGAGTGCATAGCAAAAAGAACGACATGCATGCATCAACCATCAGACATAAAATTATGCATCAAGGAACTTCTCCAACTTATTAGCATGTTTAGTAGACAACCTTGCTGTTTCTCAAGGTTCTTCAACAATTCGTGCGCCTGAAAGAATCATTGAATCAACAATTTTATCAGCAGCTAAAAACAAAGTAAAATAACACAACCTGATAAATACAAATTCAATATCAAAATAGGTTGAAAAAAGAAAGAGAAACAAAATACCATGTTGATCCAGGTTGCATATGCTTCTCGACATTCTTCTAGAGTAGACTGCACTATTTTGCCTGCAACCACAAATACCCACTTAATATACAACATATCTCAAATCCCCAAACAAAAGCACCAGGGCCCAAGGACAGTCTCAAGCCTAAGATGCATGTAAAGTATCCAGGTTCAAAGGTCTTGCCATAAAGCTTCTAATAGTTTGAGTTGCTGCTCAACTTTAGAATTCTTTTATTGGCATTTGCTTTATCAGAAAAATATCTCACCCTAAGGCATTTGTCACTAGACCCCCCTCCCCTCCCTCCCAAAAAAATAAAACCGACCGTACTCAGAGTTAAGGAGTTGACAGTGAGAAACCACGCTGCTATAATTATTAACTAGACTGGGAAACGAACTAAATATCTTCATAAATGAACATTCTTTTGGTTTCAGGAAAAAAAAAAAAAAGGAGAAACGTAAACAGCATGAAAGCTGATATGAAATGAAGCATAAATCAGTCTCCCCTTCCTTGTATGTAAAAGTTCACGTGCTAGGGTGCTAAAAAAAACACAAATTTAAGGAAGTTCTTACAAATAGCTCCAATTAATGCTTTACTATGTAAACTAGAAGACCAACATTTCAACAAACTGGTGAGACGCCCGTAACATATAATTCATTGATTTTGTAAAACAGCATTTTAATTGATAAAATAAATAAATAGACCAAATCCACATATATATATATATATATACACATATATATGGCTGTGGAAAACCTTTCCAGACAGTTCTCTTCGAAAATGCCACATTGACATACACCCGTAAAGAGCAGCATTCTTTCGATTCATCAGCATCTCTCTCTATATCCCAGAGAGCCTGAGTTGATGAAATAAAAAAGAAACGACAGCAAGTTATAAACTTAATTATAAAAATAAAAAAATAAAAAAATAAACAAGTTATAAACTAAGAAAATCCTATGTTAAAGTGAAAAAGAAAATTGAAATTTAAAAAACCACAAAATTAAAGCAAAAAAAAAAAAAATCCCTGTTAAAATTCCATCATAGTGTTATTTGCAAAGAAAAAGTTCAAGAATTGACAGTGAGCAAAATTGAGAATGTCGGCTAATTTTCCTATTTGTACTCTACCATATTAAAGTTATTACAACTACTTCTAGCGAACTTAGATTTTCTACCAAGTTATGGTGACGTAGAGAAAATTCATAATTTTTAGGGTTAATTTCACTTTTGGACGTCAAACTATGCAGTTTGTTCCATTTTAAGCCTCAAACTTTAAAATGTTACAAATCACATTGCTGAACAATGTAACTTATCCCATTTTGACCCTTCTATCATCAAAACCTTTGAATCTTGACAGAATGAAGCGCATGACCCTCACAAGATGTTTTAATAAAAAGTATTTTAGACAAATCGTCTTTATCAGTTTAGCCCTTATCCTTTTTGAACTAAATTCTAAAATCACCACTACTATTAGAGAAGCATTTTACAGCCGTTTTTCCCCTGCCACGTTTATGAGTTTTATTTATTTATTTCAATTTAATTCACAAGAATCACAACCCCAATATGATAGGTTCACAAGGTAAAATAAATAACACAACCCCAATGTTAAACAAGCTGTTAATTTGAGTAGAACTTTTCATTAATAAAAATGGAAAACAAAAAATAGGAATGTACATTTAAAGAAGGACAATGAGTCCTTGCAAAAAACAACCGAAAAATAATAATAGCTGTGATCACCTAAACATCACATCACAACTGTATAAAAAACATTTGAGTAGAAATTTTCATACAACTTCTATAAAAGAATACGAGTTAAAAATAATAATAATTAATAAAACTTATATATTGGAGAAACAAAATTTATAGATTTTTTCTCCGCAATATATTTTGAAAACATATATAAAGCCAAAAGGTCAAAATGGTCATTTGCTTCATTTTGTCAAGATTAACGGCTTGGAGACAAAAGGGCTAAAATCGGACAATGTTGCATAGTCCGGGGGTGTAACTTGTAACGTTTCAAAATTTAGGGGCCACAATGAGATGAGTTACATAGTTCCGCAACCAAATGTGAAATAAAATTAACCCCAATTTTTATAATAATTTAAAAAGAAAACTAAGGAAGTCTCCTAAAGTGTCAAAAACAATAGAAGCATTCCGAATTTCATGCAATGTTATGATGTGAGTAATTAGAAGAATAGGAGATCCTCCAAACAAAAGAACCAAAAACAAACACAAACTATGTCAAATTTTATAAGCTCAAAGTTGCCATTTCTTCAAAAGTTTGTCGACTAATCATATACATGAGCATTAGATGCAGTAAATATGCTTTGAAAACAAACATTATCACTAGTTTAATACTCAAATGAATCTATTTCAGTACTTCACAAGGTCTATTGGAATGAACTTCAGAGGTTAACCGTATAGGAGTAAAAAGAAAAAGAAAAAAAAAAGAATAAAGCTAATATCATTTACTCCATACTTGCAGTAAAAGAGTTCTTTTACCAAGTCAATATTATCCATACCTATTAATTATTAAATACATCACAAGGATCTCAGACTGAAGTTAACTCAAGAAAATTTAAGCTACGTAAAAACGTATAAATCCAGCTCATACCTCAACATGGAAATAATCTGCATAAGGTACATCGCTGAGTTCTTGTGATGTCTCAATAACCAAATGACTAGCAAAGTCAAAGTGAAGATGTTGAGAAAACAGTAAAAACAAGTGAATAAAGTTAAATAGCAATCGACCATTTGAAAATTTAAATAAATGTAAAACACTTAACTTTAAAGTTACTATGATCCCAATACAATAAGGTAGAAATAAAAATAAATAAAGAAAGTAATTCATAATCTCTATGTGCTCAAGGGTATATAAAATGGCACTAGCGTTTCCACAGTTTCACTTTCTTTACACCAATAGTAACTACTAATGAAGGGTTGATCCAGAAAGCTCAAGTTATTAGGTGGATATTATTCTTATACCATATTGGCGGGTAATATTGACTTTTATATTTTAAGACAGTATCAGAATTGTTAAGATAAATGACAAACGGATATGGGACACAGTCAAAAAAGGCAATAAAAAATCAAGTCTCTACCTAAGAGATAGTTGGTCATTGGGCAAGGTCAAACATTTCAAGATAATAGATCAAGATCAATTCATAATTCTCATGCTAAACTGAATGATAGATAAAACATATCAGAACCTGTTTCTATAGAGACGAAATTTCTGAGTTTCTTGACAACCCCCAAACTTAGCTCCTTAATGGCAACAAAATTAAAACAAAAATGAGTAAATATTTCAGAATACTATACGCTCAACACAAATTTATCATGTAAAAGAAGAAAGATGCATAGCCATACCAAAGTAAAGTTTTATTGGATGTTGAAAAGATACATCTCGAGCATGCCCAAAATTGTCATTGGGATACCATGAGCTGCATTTAATTTCTGAAAAGTACAACATAGAGGCGAAAAATATGAAATGTGCAAATTGATACCCACTATATTTTCACAGAAAATACAACAGAAGGAGTGGACATTTAGAGAATATATTGATCTTATTTAGTTCCATGCGTCCGACCTTTATCTCCACAGCTTTTGTGAAATGATTCAATAAAAATAACCGCATTGTCAGAGAAATAGTAATTGAAAAAGTCCTCAGCCTTTATCTGCACTCAGAGATCAAAATTATAATAATAATCATAATTGATTAATTGACTAAACTTCAGCTATATGACTGTAATGTAGAAAAGCAAGGAAACACTACCGGAAATTCTGATTCTGCAACCATTGTGTACCATTCTGGTACTGCACCCAAAAACAAAAACAAAAGAAAAAAGAAACAGCACAAAATTCAGGCCACACACTCGAGGGGCCAAAAGGCATGGTTCTATAACTCAAAGTACATAAGCGACATAATTTTCTAAAGTTACATAATATCCAACATATGCAAGTCTGCATGGTTAGTTAAATCGAACCAATGATTTCCTCTGAACAAACCTGACACATTACCACGTATGTCAAGACCCAAAAGAGTCAAATATGAGTAAATATGTCTCCATGATCATTCATCATTGCGTCAGCTCAGAGGCTCTTTCATATTTTGCACAAATTAACACATTAAATTACGAGGTAAATTGACCTTATGATGGATAATTGCATTTACAGAGAGACGTGGCAAGATAAAAGGACAAATTCTTGGAAGAGTATTTTAGAGAAGGTGCGCAAGGGTAGACTTTAAAGCATGGTAGGGGAGCATCAATATAATGATACAGGAACAGGAGCACAAAGTGCTTTTTTGGAAGGGAGACAAATTCCTGATATGGCTTTAAGGGCAAAGCAAGCAGTAGATGAGTATAGGTCGAAAAAGGATGGGGTACTTTTCAAGATTGACTTTGAAATTGCCTAAGATCAAGTAGAGTGGTCATTTCTTGATTTTGTACATGAGAAGAATGGCTTTGGAGATAAATGGAGAAAATGGGTTACGGATTGTTCTCTTCGGTCTCTTTCAATTATGATTAATGTTAGGCCTCGGGGAAATTTCAACGATCTACAGCCTCAGGAAAGGGGATCCTCTACTCCAATCTTGTTCACTATCATCATTGATGTTCTAGAGAGGATGATAAATAATGCTAGAAAAAATTCAAGAGATTGTTGGTCAAGGGATTCTTTGGCAAAACCTTTTCCCGACGGCCAGCCTTCATCGCTGCCTGCTCCGAGTTGGTTGTGTCAACCCCTAGGTTTTTTGGCTTACCCAGCTGTTCCTAGGTTTCTGTCGCCGGCAAATAAAATTGAGAAGAACTCTAATTCTAACGCTCTAATGCCATGTTGACAATTAGGGTAAAATTGACAACTTTTTGCTTTATAAGAAACAACCTTCATTGATAATAAAATATAAATTGATAACTATCATTATTAAAGTATTTACAAGCTTCGGTAGTGTAATTACATAATTAGTATCCTAACTAGCTTGAATAGTCTAATTACATAATTAGCATCCTAACTACTACTAGACACCAACTCTTGTTAACACTTGACAACTAACTATATTAATGAAGGACAATAATATCTCAAAACGGTCCTTTGCAAGGTTATGGAGAAGTAGGATGATTGGAAAAAAATCTTTTTGTCAGAGGAGGAGACTTAAACACATTCCATTGGTTCTGGCGGTACTCTCTGTCTATTATATGCATCTATTTAAAATACCATGCTTAGTTGCGGAAAAACAAGAGAAGGCTATGAAAGCTTTCTTTTGGGAGGGTGGGGATGTTTACTTAGTAGCCTGGGAGTTGGTGAAGTGGCCAAAACCAAAAGGTGGGTTGGGAATGGGCAATTTGGTTGCAGAAAAATAAAGCCTTATTGGCTAAATGGTTGGAGATGGCTTGCTTTTAGCTAGTTGGCTCAGCTAACCTCTTAGCTGATCAAAGTTTGCTCAACCTCCTTTCGTAACAACTTCCCTGGTATGACCTTCCCGAAGAATAGAATCTCAATCTCTCTTAAGCTCTCTCCCTGTTTCATTAAGAGTCTGACTCACTTCAGCAGGTAATCAACAGTAAGGATGGATGCAAGGAGAATCGGTGGGAACCAGGGTGGAGGGTTACACATAGATGTCCTTGGAAGGGTATTTCCTCAGGCTATTCTTTGTTTTCTCACAAACTGGGTATGGGTAATATAATTCGTCTTTGAGAAGATGTTCAGCGTGGAGATCTTTCCCTTGCTCAAGCCTTCCTTAATCTGTTTAGATTGTATTTCGTTCATTCATCTCCAGTTTCCTGTTCTTACAAGATTAATGTCAATAGTGGCAGGAGTATGTGTGTCATGGGATCTTTATAGTAGAAGGAATCCTAGTGAGTGGGAAGTTAAGTCAGATGGCTGAGTTGTTATCTTTGTAAGGACAAAGAATTTTGTTATTTCATTATCCAGATTTGGTTAGGGACTGGTACACTCTGATGTAGTCTTTTCAAATTCAGTTTGTTTTGTTGGTGGACTTCCCATACTACATTTTGAAGTTCTTTGTACTTCATGATTTTTAAGGGGTTTCGTTTCTTATAGAAAAAAAAATGATACAAGATTCTAGACTGAACTCACCATTTGGGGCATCACAGTTCTCCTCCTTCCACATAGAAGAAGAGTTGGTATTTGAAATGGGTACTATATCCTCTTCCAAAATATCTTTTACCTCTGAAATTATTGTTGACACCTTGTCGTCTCCAACATTGGGAGGTAACTCGAAATCTTTTGGAATAGGAATATCCACCGTTCTGACTCATATCATGTAATAACATTAAGGAGTTTCCATGAGGGTAAAAAGAACAAAATAAAAATGACAAGTACCTGTTAGTAGAATCCAATTCATCAGTTGGCTGTCTGAAGCTATCGACTTTCTCAATTGCAACTCCATTCTCCTGGCTACTGGTCCCAGATGTTGATTCCTGATACAAGGCAAGGACATTAGAAAGAGGAAGAGGAGAAAAACATTAACCTTGCCCTTGTATCCAACAAATCCAGGCATTTAAGTATCATTTGATACTGAAAATTAGCGTATTCTTTTAAGTGAAGTTACACAGTACTAATTTACAAGTGCAATTAGAACATGGAAAACTCTATATAACCAGTAGAAAAGGACAAATTGCGAATTGTTCGTTCATTTCGCGGATTTGAGTTTTCGATTCGAGTTTAAATGTGATATTTTCTTAGAGCTTTTCACTGTAGCAGAAAAAGTTAGATGTGACATTTTATGAGAGCTTTTTACTGTAGAAACCTAAAACTAAAAACTCAAATCGGTGAAATGAACGAGGCTTATATACACAAGTTACAGCTCTTGATGCTGGCTAAATATTTCCTTGAAATAATAAAAAGAAACAAATATTGAGGCAAAATATAACTTTTATATCACTGGGACATCATAGATAACTTGGTTAGTAGTTTACGTAATTTCATAGAGTGATCACTATCCTGTCGAGATCATCACAATGCTTGGATCATAGGCCAATGGTGTATTTTAATCTAAATAATATATTATACAGAAAATCAGGACCAACCTGAGATTTAATGAATACGACTATTACCAATAAAGAAAAATAATTTTCTTTTCTCTTTTCAAGGGTAGATTGGAATTTTTGAGTTCAAAATCGAGTGTGATTAAGAAAAGGTATAAATTTGTGTATTAATTAAATATGATGGCATCTTAATCCCAAAAAAGATGCAAGGCATACTTTCTGAATAAAAGCAAAATGTAGGAAATAAAAAGGTAAATAATCCCAAATACACACACACAAGAACTTTTAAGCATTTTAGAACCTTAAAAGAAAATGCAGCTTGAGAAATAAAAAACAGAGTAAGAGCTCTGTTCGAGGCACACAAAAGTATATTTAATCTTTCACTATATTTCAATTCCCAACATAATAAACAACCTGCTGCTCTGCAACTGCTTTGGCACCATTACTGTGTTGCAACCATCCATCATTAATGATCTTGAAAGCTTCGTCACGAGAAAGGAAGGATGCAAAGAAGTACTGCCAAATCAAAAACCAGAGTAAGACATTGCAACTGATACTAAAATGACTCATAAAATAGTTCACAGACTAGTGTAAGAAGACCAACCGGTTACCAGCCACAAGTAAAAGAGAGGAAGTGATAACATTAAACTAGAAATACCTTCTTGCCTCCAGCAAAAATTTCTATGGCATTAGGAAAGATCCCTGCTGTCTTTGCTCTTCGTACACTTGTGACTTCATGGAATGCAATCAATTTCTGAAGAATGACAACACTTTCAAGAATCAACACTAGGAACTTACTTTCGTAAATGAAGCATAACAAAGTGATATCCCGATGCATTGTATTATATATATATATATATATAAGCATTTTGAGTATCATGAAACAACCTAGACAGAAAACTGATTCAGTGTAGCCCTTCTCACTCCAAACAACTACTTGAACTGTAAGACCAACAACAAAGTCTTAATTCTACAAACATACATTGCAACATTTCTCATGAGCAGAAAACTTTTGTCAAATCTTGCATCTGGGATTTAAGCAAAACGTATAGTGAGATAAGCTCCAGCCATGACTAGTCGTGACCCATTCAACTGATCCATACCAAGTAAAGTTCCATTTGGATTACATATATATGTGAGGATTATCCCATCTAATTTTGTGATGACCCGAGTATGGGTTTTATACTATTATTAAGCCTCTTATGGGTGGCTAATGCCATAATTCTCACATATCACAGTATCAATGATATGCATTACCATCAAGGAAGCTAGAAAGACCCACTTTTCATAAAACTGATGTGCAGGTTCGAACTTCCACAAAGCTTAGTACATAAGGAGAGAGACAAATGTTATGACATAATTAGGTTTCATGCTTCAATGTTCAAGTCACTAAGGTCGTAGCAATTGTGGTATATTGCAGTACTAATAACCAAATTCATGGGTACATAAATCTTTAACAAATTGGGCGTGCCATTTGCGCTCAATACAAATAGTGACAGAGCAAGAATACACTCCCAAAATAAGGTCAAATGGCAGGATAAGACGGACAGAGAATTAGTAGTCAATTCTTTTCCAATAAAAAAGAGAATCAGTAGGTGATACAGTAATTTTGTGGTTATCTACCAAATGAGTTCGTTAACATACCTTTGTCTCAAACCCAAATATGTTAGAATAGAAGCAAATATAGTGGACAAAGAGGTACATATGGCCCTACAACAGATAAATATAAGGAGAGTTAGGAGAAATAAAACGTAGAAATTTAGTTCCCTAAATGTACGAAGTTAAAATATGCTTCAGAGAATCAAATAATCACCAAATGGAATATAAGGCCACTGGTTACCGAATTGATTATTATATGCATGCAGCATTTAAGTTTAAAAGATGAAGTGCGTAAGCAAAAAATTATATCCTGAATGGGACCGGATATCAAAATCACCTGAATAAGTATGTTCTCCTGGAATGCACAGTTAAAATCTTCAACAAGAACCTACAAAACAGACAATAGAAGGGAAAAAAAAAGCAGGGTAATTAATGTAAATGTCTTCAAATTAAAAGGCAGAAAAATGATAACTTCCGATAGAAACCACAAAAAACTAGCACTTTACTCACTTCCTCCGGTGGAAGACGAAACAATTGCCGATACTCTTCACTTCTTAACATTGTTTGTGACTGAAATAAGAAAATTAGGAAACTTTTAATAGAGAAACTATTTGCATTAACCATTCGTGTGCTACATTGAGCAATATCATATCTCACTAGTCATCAATCGTTTCAATTTCTCATATTACGTTCTAAATCTACATAAAAGCAAATTAAGGCATGGCGGGAAAGGAAATGTCATATCTTCTCGAAGATAAAAATTATTCTAAAATTTACCGTTAACAATTAGACCAAAAAAAAATTGATCATGAACTACGAATCTCACTCATAATTCCAGAGAGGAAGAATTATTCTAAAATTCCAGTAAGAAATTAGAACAAAAAATCAGGAATCAACGTAATCGTCGATTACCGAACATATAAAACCTAAATTCTCATGTTACAACAAAGAAAACTCACGAAAACTACCTCGAATCTGACAGAAACTAATTACCAAACAACCTGAATATCGAGGTCTCGGCGAGAATTGGGAGAGGAATTGGAAGGATCGTCACGATCGGGCGTGGCGGCGGAGGAGGAGATCAGCGGCGACGATGAAGACTCCAACGCGGCGTCGGAAGACAATCTGGAAGGCGACGGTTCCATTGTCGGCTGCGGCGGCACTTTGAATGTCGTCTCGGAGCTCGCAGGGGCGGAGGCCACAGCCATGAAAAGGAGAGCGAGACGAATTGTAGAGAGAGAGTCAGGGTTTGGGGTGGAGAATTGGGGGGGAAGGAGGAAGAAGAGGAAGAAGAAGAGATCGTCGGTTGGGTTTGTTAAGAGTTGCAGTCCCAGTTCCAGTGCTGTAAACGGAGGGCCATTTTTTTGGTTTTTAGTACTAGTCATCGTCGACGTTAACCTTTTTTACACGTGTCCAACCCGTTAAATTTGTAAATAATATAATATTTGAAATTTACTTAAATTAAAAAAAAAAAATTGTAAACTTCTTCATCGAATTTAAAATTTGAGTTTTGTTACAGTAAAAAATTTTCAGAAACAGTCATATATAACTTTTTGATACAGTAAAAACTTCTCATATAAAATCACATCTAAACTCAAATTAAAAACTCAAATCAACGAACTAAACGAATGCTATATCATTTTAAAAATGTCGTTAGATCGTATACTAGAGGGCTATGAAATACAAACGACAAGAGGAGAGTTATTGTGCGTTTATGTTATAGATTTAAATTACCATTTAAATTTTTTTATTATAGTTTTTCTCTCATAAAATTTAAATTTATGTTTAAATTTTTTTTGTTCAAACTTATGATCTAAAGGGGACTTTAGGCATTGTTAAGTTTATATATAAAAGTTATCACCAATTATGGCGGCATGGTAGTAAGATGTCTGCCTTAAGTTCCTTCCTTCACACACATGTTCACAAAAAAGTTTTAGCCGTAAAAGTGGCAATGTTCACTTATGGGTTAATGTCAGTACCAAAGAGAACATGGGCATAAGGGCGTTGTACTTCTCAGTAAAATTTATTATATGGAATTAGGTCTACAACAATATCATAAGCAATTCCAATTGTTCTAAGGAATTAAAATTGAATGATAAAAATGACATGTGAGTTTGAAATTAGTTAAAATATATGTTGATGATCACCAATAATGCATTGCTTTATCATAAATGGTACAAACTAGACTTGTTCAATTGTTTTGTTACATTGAAAAACTCGAGTACATGAAGCCATTGATCCCATTTCTTAAGTCTATGAACGGCAATAGTCTCTGGTATGAGGTCGTGAGAGCACTTCCCGTTAGTTCCTGGGTAATCGTACATGGCGGGCTTATTGGAAAACCTGTTTTGGGCCTTATTCCCCATCCTTAACCATTTTCCCACCAGCCTATCCTCGGGTCCAAACAGGTCCAATTTAGGGATACTTGACTCCGAAATCCACTCCACAAGGTCCCAAGAGAGCAAGAATCCCATCCCTGACATGTATTCCACAAAAGGGTTTTTGCTATTGCATGGAATTACAAACCCATAATACAAGTCTAGCCGAGGCAATGGCTCGAGAGACGACGCCAACGGCTCGAGTCGGATGAAAACGTCGTCATCCACCTTCATGACGTAGTCGTACCTATTTTTAAGGATGTTTGGAAGCGAAGAAAAGTAGGTGTAGGTTTTTCCCTCGTTCATGTTCTCGGTGCAATTGAGGACAATAATGTCATCGTAACGGAGGATTTCTAGGGCAACCAGCATACGTTGCTCGGGTTTAGTGAGGTTGCATACAATGAATTTTACATCAATTTTTGCCAAGGGAGAAGATTGGATGCCGTAGATGAGGCGGAGGAAATGTCGTCGCTCATAGTTGTCAGCGCGGGTTAGGATTCCGATCAAGAGGCTAAATTTGTGGTGTATTTGAGTGGTGATTTTTGATGAATTATTTGGTCGTGGGGATTTCATTACATGGAGATGAAATACTATGAAAATGAAGAAAATGGAGAGAGAAAGTGAAGGGAAATAGACTGAAGTTAAACACTTTCTTTTCATTGTAGTTAATTTCTTATAGAATTTAGCCATTGTGAATTGGTATTTAAAGGGTATAATTTGGATGTACTCTCAATCCCTGCTAAGGCTGGCCTACTATATTAACATGTCATGCTTTGTTCGCTAGTTTTTTTTGTTTTTTTTTTTTGGCTGAAAACGCGTCAAGAGATTTGTTCAATTGGTAACCCCTTCTTATAAAGTAACCAGTTAGTTAATTAAACGTATTTCAAGCTGTTTTAGAGCAGGTTTTTTCATGTGAAAACGAATTTGATAGCAGCTTTCTCTCGTGGGAATATCTGAGAAGCGTTGCCTAATTCTCGTGAGTAGAAAGAGAGAGGAAGGTTTTATTGACTCGATGGGACATATCTTTAAATCATGTCTTTATTAAAAAAGAAAAAAGAAAAAAAATAGTTTCTTATTCAAAGAAATATCTAATTTAAGAAAACCTTACTACTTTTTAATGACAATTTCTATCTGAAATGGGAAGAATTTAATGGACTTTGTGATCATTCGTAATTTTGAATTTATTTCAATTACGAGTGTAACTTTAAGTAAAACCACAATAAAGGATACTTTCCTTATCAAAAGCACTCTTACAAGAAATAGAGGGTTTTCTTATTTTAAAAATATTGGGAGTGTATGTATTGGTTTTGAAATTTTCTAGTTAGCCAAATATTATCATTTGAAAAACTAAAAAAAACGCAAGTCATACTACTAGAGATTAAGGGCTTGTTCTTTTGTAAGTATTCTTGAGTTAAGTTTTTGAGTTGAGTTTGAGTTATATCTTAAATTAAAGTTGTAACTTGAGTTTGCGTTTGGTTGTGTACATTTGAGTTATGATTTGAGATAAGAATCTTTTTGAGTTTGTGTTTGAGTAAGTCAAAACTTGAATTTGTATTTAGATAGTATTTTAATAAAAACTCAATGCTGATGAAAAATTTTAATAGGGTATATGGGTCTAGTTTTATTTGTCTTTTCGTTGTCAACGCATAGAAAAAAAATCATCTCAATCAGAATTAAAACGAAAAAGTTATAGCATTTTTAAGAATAGAAAAAATATTGTTCATTAACTTGAGTTCGAGTTTATGAATTCGAGTTGAAGGAGAAACTTGAACTCGAGTTTTAGTCTAAACTCGAGTTCAAACTCGAGTTCAAACTTAAAAAAAACATGAACTCGAATAAAATTGTAACTCGAGTTGCCTTTTTTTAAGTTTTTCACTCAAAACAACGGCCTTGTTTGGCAGGGTGATTTTTGAGTTAAAAACTCAAAAAAAGGTAACTCGAGTTATAACTTTATTCGAGTTCATGTTCTTTTTTAAGTTTGAACTTGAGTTTGAACTCGAGTTTGAACTTGAGTTTGGAACTAAAACTCGAGTTCAAGTTTCCCCTTCAACTCGAGTTCAGAAGCTCAAACTCAAGTTAATGAACATTATTTTTTCTATTCTTAAAAATGCTATAACTTTTTCGTTTTAATTCTGATTGAGATATTTTTTTTTCTATGCATTGACAACGAAAAGACGAATAAAACTAGACTCATATACCCTATTAAAATTTTTCATTAGCATTGAGTTTTTATTAAAATACTATCTAAAAACAAATTCAAGTTTTGACTTATTCAAACACAAACTCAAAAAAGATTCTTATCTCAAACCATAACTCAAATGTACACAACCAAACACAAACTCAAGTTACAACTTCAACTCAAATTATAACTCAAACTTAACTTAAAATCTACACTCAAGTTACCTAACTCAAAAACATCAAAAGAACAAGCCCAACAAATCCTAAGTATTAAACTTGTTTTTTCAAATGTGTTATTAATACCTTCAAGAAACAAAAAGATACCCCTCTTCCTCATTTGATCAGGAAAAAGGAAAAATAAAATTCAAGTAAAAACTTAAGAACAGTCACTGAAAAAGGTTTTCAACGTGGACCAAAAACCCACCTTTGAACGCCTCTTTTCCCTAATTCCAAGACCCAAAAACCCACACTTTCAAACCTCCCTAATTTTCCAACTTTTCAAAAAGCGAAGGGGACAGCCTCTTGACCCACTAAAGACTAGAAAACAAATCCCACTTCTTTTTGGGAAAATGGTTATTAGTATGAAATCTTGGCAATTTGAGCATTATATTATAATAATATTGCGCTAATCATTTTAATCACTACGTCCTTACGCTTTTTTCATGGGATTAGTGTCTCACATGACATCTTGTCCATTTGACCCTAACCATCTACAGCTGAAAAAGTAACAAAACCCAATCATACGATTCAATTCCTCCATTTATAGTCTATGCCACGTCATCATTTTGTATATTTTTTTTAGGAAAATGTATATAAATGTCATGCGTTCTAAGATTCGCTATTCTTCTTTTTATCTCTTTCTTTTTTTTTTTTGAAAGATCATTTTCAGATTAGTTTTTTTTTCCCCCCTGACGTAGTTAGTAAGTCATATTATATACAGTCACATTTCACACTTAATTAACAAGTGAAGTCGCCCATTGTAGATCAATAGATCATAGTGGGCTAAAATTAAGTACATACAAATCTGTCACACCCAATAGTAACTTTTAACCTGATAATTCAATGTTACCATACCACATCATATTAAAATTATAATTTAATGTTGGTGCAGAAAAATTACCGTCCTTTGATCCTCCTCTTCGTACTCATTCTGGGAAATGGGATTCGTGTATGAAACTCTTTTTTTTCCCACCAATGACCAATCTGCCCTTATTTATATGGATTGGGAGACGCGGGAATCCCAGCCTTACTTTTAATCTTGGCCGTGGATCTTGTAATGAGTCAATCTTGACTGTTCATTGATTATTTAAGTTATTACGCATGCACACATGCTTTACTTCTTGGGCTCTTTATGCATAATGCAAAATTTCAATGGTATAGTACTTAAATATGGCAAATTTTTTAAAATATTATAAAAGAGTAAAATTTTGATATCATATGACTATATCATTACATAGTACAAAATGTGACATTATTTTAATAATGATTGTGTTTTTTTGTTATATTTATAATATTCTAAAAATTTTACTAAATTTCAAATTAAGGTATTAAAATTTTGCCATGTGGTGTAATTATCACTTACTTCTTTACCATATGTGCTAGAAGTGAAAATTTGGGCCGCCCAGTCCGAGTTCGAATGGAAATTTCAGGCCGGATCTGGCCCGAATAAGGTTTTAGACTTAAAATCTTGGTTGGGCCCAGCTCGGAGGTTTAGGTTAGGTCACCTCGGGCCCGAACCAACAGTGGCAGACGTCGAGTTTATCTGTTTAGTTCAGTCTAAACTTACAACTCTAAATTTTGTGCATTACTTTGTGATGTATGCATTCATATTGGTCTGGATTGTGTTTGAACTCATTTGATAGTGTTTTCAGCATGTTATTTCACTGTTATTTTTTTCTGTCTTTTATTTTAGGGATAAAGAGACAACAATTTATGTTTTTTTAACATTTTTTTTAAAATAAATAACATATTTTTGAAATGATTGAAGTAAAAAGCATATTTTTTTTGATAAATATTTATTTGCCCATCATAAATACATTATAGATATGTAGATTATTTATCATGAGTATCTATTAATAAATATCTTATTTAGAGTGAATAAATAGATATGGACCCGGCTATAATCTCCTACTTTGTAAATGATGGACCCACTCTCCTATATGCCATCATAATTGGTTCAAATTGAAACGAAACAAAACATCTGGATTTACTGTTGGACGTTTTAAAAATTAAGGATTAAAATTGATTTAATAATAAATTTTAAAGATTATTTGTGAGATTAACCCAATATACAAAGTATCGATAAAATTAACTCCTTATTTATATTTTATTACCCTACATGCTTGCGCATATAACTCTATATACTGCCTTTGTCTATAGTTTCGAGTACAAAATACTTGCATCATCTAGGCGTGTGTGATAAGTCATTTTCGTACTAGCTGTGGGAGAGAATAGATCGTAGCTCTTTCATGAATGTGACATGTCATGGTTAGTGGTTCCATTATACTTGCTCATCAAACATGGAAGGAAAATGACTATTGCTGTACGTCTCACTCTCAGTCTAACCAAATAACAGTGATATTGTATCCCATGTGCGATTACGATGGGGGGGGAATCTAGAGAAAAGCAGGGAAAATGTATTTTATTCTGTTTTATTTGTTAAAAGCATTGAAGAAAAAACAAAAAAGAGGGAAGAAAAAAAATATGAGCTTCTCTGATAGTTCAACAAATTAGTATTATTAATTTTTTAACGGTTAAATCTGATCAAAATCTCACCCTATTTAAAAAAATATGCAAAATAAACAGTTTCTAATAATGATTTACGGTTAAAAAGTAAAAGTCTATCAGTAGTTTATTTTTATTAGTCACGTGAGAAGCTCCTAAAAAATAATACCCTATATCTCTTTATTATTTTTTATGCTTCTCCTAATTGGGATTTTTTTTTTTCATGTTAGGATCTTAATTGGTAGTTATAATACGAGTTTTGATACTCCACTTATACATTCTAATCAACTTTAATGTGCGTTTACCTAAAAAATACATTTAGAACAAGGATTGTTAAAATTTTAATTTAAATAATAATATATAATATTAATAGAGTTTGCAAATGAAATAGTAAATTAAAAAAGTAAAAGAGTGGCTGAATCAATAATGTTAGTATTTCTCAACCTAAACATAGAAGGGAGGAGGAGGAGGAGGTACTCGTAGGGGGGACAGAAAATATTAACAGTAGCGTCTACAGCTTAGGGCCCATATTAGGCAGAGGTTTCAGTTTCTGATTCGTCGTTGGTGAACTTTTCCTTTTTCCTTTTATCATTGGCTGTCGTTTGCCCTTCACAGGTCCGTTCATTTTGTTGATTTAAATTTGTAATTTAAGTTGAGATATAATTTTATGTAAGAGCTTTTTATTATAGTAAAAAAATTAGATGTAACTATTTCTCAGAACTTTTTACTGTAACAAAACTCAAATTCTAAACTCAAATTAGTGAAGTGAACGGGGCCTCATTTGACCCGGCTCTTTGCAGTGATTGCACCCCATCTTTTCTCATCTTCTCCATATTAACCCCCATCTTCCGCACGTTCTTTTCGTGCAGTGTGAACAACCGTAGGGTTAAGTTTGTATTTTCACAATTTTCTTTTTTTTTTCTTTAGGAAATTTCAGGATATATCAATGCTTATTTTTATTTTTTTTTCCTTAACAGGATTTATTTGTTTATTTTTAGGTTATTTTATATGGAGACCTCTTTAATTTTACGAGTTTAATAAATTGGTCCATTAATTTATTTTCTTGGTAATTTATCCTTTAAATTTTGAAATTTATTGTAATATGTGTCAAATTTGAAAACGAATTTAAAAATTTAGAAGATATCTTTCACGTGAATATTTAATAAGTATAATTATTTATTTTTCAATCGAATTGATCCTCATATACGCATCATGAGCATAATTTTTTTTAAAATTGGGAGTTAACCATTTTAGGAGAAAAATGGTTAACTCCCAATTTTAAAAAAATTTTCATTCATGATATGTATAAGGAGTTCTATTCGATGCAAAAAGACCATATTATCCCTATTAAACATTCACGTGGAAGAACCCATCTAAATTTATAACTTCGTTTTCAATTTGACCAACAATACAACAAATTTTAAAGTTGAAAAGGGTGAATTGTCAAGAAAAAAAATTAAACCAAACTTGTAAAATTGAGGTGGTATCAATTCAAAAAATCTTATTTTTATATTGTTTTTTCCTCGAAAAATTGATTGTTGTATTGTACATGTGCTGTTTGTTTGAAGGAAAATTAAAAAGTGCAAGTAAAACAGAAAATATCAATAGCTTTAGGTTTATTTTTATTATTTTTTAAATAATCCACGTTTGAATGTGTCCCACTTAAGTCTTTTTTTTGTAAAAATTTATGTTAATATGACCACTTGATTTTTATTCGTTATTATGGAGTTTTGCATCGATTTGCTGTCTAACCCCAAACATCTGTTATAGATTTAATTTCTGATTTTTAACATTCTTTAAAGACTCAAAGTTCTATTTACAATGAAATGCTAGTGTTGTTTCAAGAACTATCTAAATTCTAGAATCAGTTTGACGGAGTCTCAGTGTCGGAAAACAGAAAAATCTCATTCCACTTATTCTTTGCCCTGTTTATAGGTTATGATTATCGTAAGAATTCTCTTTGTGCAACCTATCTAGGTCGTGGATCTTTAAAGATTTCTTTTTCTTCATCCAATCAGATCCATCCTTTTTAGATCTTAACTAAGTCACTTTAATCACTTATGTATTTTTTTATTTTCAATGCTATGGATGATGGATAGCGAATAAATTTTTTTTTTTTTTCTGGAACAATAAAACAACATTCCTATGTTAAAAGTAATTGGGTAATTTTCTTAAGAAAGAACTTTATATTGTTCCAGAGGTAAAGTGATAAAACAAGAATAATGCCTCATACAACAGCTGCTTATGCAATGATTATTTCAAAATGTTTACCAAATCCTGACAATTGTTTACTCCGTAATTTCCCGAATAAAGTTTTGTATCACAACTCGTGAGCATCGTACAACAAAACATGTGAAAGTGGATGGGTTTTACAATCTATTCATCTCACAAAATTACTATCCTAGATCTTATGAGTAGAGACAAATAGCAACACTTGTCTTACCATGAGAAATAGAATACTATCAATAATAGCACACGACGCATTTACATATCGATTTTGAGAACACATAGTCCCAACATAATTTTGTATGTTAATTTCTAACTTGATAAAAAAAAACAATAATGATCCTTACTAGCTATAAGAACTAAGAAGTAACATTTTTCTGAGTAAAGTTATAAATATTGATGACATGCATATATGAAAAGTGAATGTTATTACGGCCATAACGAGGGCTTTGTAAAAATAACTCAATAAAAAAGTTTTATTAGTCAAATAATTTTTTAAAAATTTTTATTTATAAAATGACTACTTTTTACAAAGAATGATTAGGTGATCATTCTTCATAAAAAATAAAGAATGTTATTTTGCTAATTTTATTTTGTTGGATAGTCATTCTAGCATATTGCCTGGCCATAACTCTATGAAGTTTTTTTTCTTTTTTTTTCTAAGTGGCCATGTCTGCTATGTATACTGTAATGGGGATAATGTAGCCAATTTTCTAGTTAGTTTTGCTTTGAATAATTTTGTTAATTACGTTTGGCTTCATTCTTTGCTTTGTTTCACCGGCACTTTTTGTAGTAGATGATATTTTGAGTTGTTGATTGATAGTCATCAAAAGGAAAGTGAATGCTATTATGAAATTGAGCATTATTAAATAGATATTCTCCTAACAGTTTACTATTATGAATTGTGAAAATGTACTATTAGATTTTTTATTTTTTTTTTTACTACCGTGGATTAATATGGATAACAATTATTTTATTTTATTTTTAATTTTTTTGCTAAGAACAATTAAACATTATTTTCTATTGCTTAAAATGGATACTTTTCTTAGAAATAAATTAATGCCATGCCACTACGTTTTATTGAAAAAATCGAAGGTAAATGGATAGAAAAAAAATATTTCCTCATACAAGCTGTTTACTATCGTAATAATTATTTACTATCTTTTTCTCGTAAAAATCATGCAAAATGGTAATCCTGAAGTTTGATGATCATAGTAAAACCGTAACGCAATAATTTAAAATGATTGTTACAATAATGGATGCAACTGTTACTTTGTCGACTTCTTTTTCCTATATAAAAAAATAGGAGTTTTTTAATTTACCAATCTTTCATATATGTTACGTTAAAATTCCAAAAGAAGTACCATTTTTGGTAAAATTTTACCAAAAATTTTTATTTTATAAAAACACACACTTCTCCCACATTTCAAATGTATTGCATAATTAGGAAAAGTCGAGAATAATAAATCACATAAGCTTTTGCAATAACAAAAATTTCCCCTAAAAATGTTGAATGTCCCTTGCAGGTGTATAAACGTAATTGTAGGTATATATCTATATATGTACAAATTTAAATATGTGTTATCAAAAAGAAATATTGACGTGTAAGGGCCTCTTCTTGTTTGTTTTTTTAAATGTATTTTTATTTATTTTTTGTTTTGATTAACCACATGATTCATTGACATGTGCAATTGTGACATTGTCATATGAGGATATTCCTATCTAGCATTCCGAACCTCCCAAAAAAGAATCAGGCAACTAGCTTAGGATTGATAATGGTGGTGGTCAAGCAATCTATAATGTAAAATGAGTGTTCATCAAAACCATGAAAAGTGGGTCCATTTTGTGAAATTTGGTGGACCCCATCTATTTTATTTCTTTTTCTATAAATAACAACATCATGGATCATGGTGCACTTAGACCATCATTATCAATAGCGACATATCCACAAACACACAAAACCCATTTTTACTAAAAATAAACGTCACAAAAAAAAAAAAACCATAAAAAGCCATATCTTCAAGTTTCAATTATGAATTATTACTAATTAGTAAATCAACTTAAAGCGGCTCTATAATAAAAAAAATACCTTAATCTTATTTTGCCTAAATTGTCTATGCTTGTTGGTTTTTAAGAGGTTTATTAGATTTGAAATATTTGAAAATAAATTGTGGTTATTTAAGTCATAAACTACGTATAAGCTTATCATCACTACCTTTTTCCCCCTCATAGGATGACAAGTACTGTAATCTAGAACCTTATGTGAAATTAATTGCTTTTAATTCTTTTGATTCTTATTGTCTATCTCTCTACCTTTTTTTTTTCTGTAAGAAGTAAGAACAAGAAATGAAAAGGAATCTTCAGTTCTTCTTTCATGACCATGAAGATGGAGGCCGAAGACCCAACTAAAATCCAAATAAAAGGAAACAAAAAAAAAGAAAAATAAATAAATTAATAATTAAAGATAGAGAGGGGAAGAGAGAGAGTCGTTTTCCTTGAAAGGAAGTGTAGCTCAAATAAGGAACACATGAGGTCCCACTTTCCGGATGGTCCCCACTAATTTTGGTAGGTCCCACTTTCAAACTTTTTATTATTTTTTTGTTTTTCTTTTTTTCTTTTCTCTCTCATGAGCTAAAGTGCGCAGTCCATATTACACAGCACACATGACAAAGAAGCAAAGCAACACAAAAAGCAAATAAAAGCACAAACGAAAGCAAATAAAAGCGAGAGAGAGCTAATTATAGCATTGCAAGCCAGCACTGTTAAAAAGCTTCATTTCAGAGCCAGCAAGAATTCTAGAGAGAGAAACAAACATAAAAAAGTGACCGACGAGAGAGGAGAGAGAGAGAGCTCTGATAGGAACCCCATTTTTGTTTTTCTTCCATATTTTTCCTAGAGAGAGTAAGCTCAGTGAAAGAAGACCCTAAAATTGCGTAGACAACAACCCAATAGTGTTTTTTTTTTTGGTGTTTCTCGTCGTCGTCGTCGTTGTTGTACAAGGATTTTCCGTACAGATTCGGATTCTTATTCGGTGATTATTTTTCTTCTGCGCGTTTGTCGTTCTTATATGCTTTGGATTTATTTTTCTTTTCTTTTAGATTTTTTAATTTCTCATTTCGATTCATCATTTCGCTTAGTTTCCAAACGGTTCGATCTTTCTTTCTCCTCTGTATTTTCTCGTTCAATTCTACATTGCTCTGTTGTTGGTTGTTTCTTTACTTTTTTATTTTGTTTTATTTTTTTTAATTCTAAGTGTTGCATGGAATGGAGGTTTTGCAATGAGAACGGGGAATTCGGCCTTTTCGCCTTTGTTGATTTTTTTTTAATTGTCGTTTATTTTTGGTATTGTTTGAACTCCTTTAGGGTTTCCCTGTAATGTGGTTGATTTTGGTCTTTGATGGTGAAGTTACTGATTTTTTCCCCCATTTATTATTCAGTTTATTGATTTTTCATTTCCTTTGATCTGGGTTTCATTTATGTGTAGATTTCCAATCCCGATTTTGGTGCTTTTAAGCGCTTATATTAAGAGAGTGAGTGAGCATTTTGATTAATATATCAGAAAACTACTCTCATTTTAAATTACATTCCGAAATTGCTTTCCTCTTTTTGTTTTTCACTTGTCTTTTTCTTTGGGACTTTTTTTCTGGGTATTCTGACATTTTAATTTTCAGATTCTTTTTGGGTGAAATTAATCTATCTAGATTAATTTTATTATGTTAGGAAGTGAAGTTACCTTGTTTAGTTTCTTGTCATTATTTTGAAGGTGTTATGATTGTTTTTTTTTTTTTTTAATTGAACAGCTTAATTTTTAAGTGAAGTAAATTAATTATCAGAGGGGGAAAAAAAAAAGAAGAGAAGTTGATGAATGCCTCTTGTGTATAAAATATATATATATATATATGTGTATGTATATATTTATAGTTATATATTGTTTTGAGGAATACAAAGTATGATCTGGACGTAAATATGGAATTCCCATTAATCGATATATAATTTTTGATATGGGCTTGAACGAGAAGTTGATGCATAGTGTTGTTGTTGTTGTTTCTTTTCTTTATTTTATTTTACACGTTGTTTTTCTTTATTAAGGAACGAAAATTGAAACAAATTTTTTTTTTTTTTGGAATAAGTATTAAGATCTGAAGTAGAATGTGGATTGCCTGCTAATATTGATCAATATCTTATTTTTGATCTGCAGATTTTGTTTGAGCAAAAGGCTTTCCCCATGTGAGACTAATCACGGTTACTGGATATGGAGAGGATACCAGAGTTGAAGGTGATTCCTGTAAAACCTCCTAGTTTGAGTCATGAAATATCAATTGCGCATAAAGCCTCACCGAATGAAGTGAGTCAGTTATCGAAAATGCACTCGGCTATGGTGAGAGAAGCTATGGCAAGAGAAGTAGCGGGCGGATTATCAAATGGACGGTTGGCTTTAGCGACAGAAGAATTAGCAATGGCGTCGACAAAAGGGGTAGTTCAGTTGTCGAAAGCACGGCTGGTTTCAGTGAGAGAAGTGGCACGGTCTGATATGCGAGAAAACCCCCAAGATCAAGGCTCATCGGTGCCTATGAGGGTGTCAAAAGGGAAGACCTCTTTACCAGGAGTGGAGGAACTTATGCCTGATTTTACTGTTACGTTTAAGGGAGGAAGTGGCGGCGATTCATTTGAGGATGGTGGTCCTAGTTCTTTCTCTGGGGCTAGTCACCCTCCGGAGCCTGTTGATACTGATCTGATGCAAACGGTTTATGTACCAATTGGTAGGAATAAATCCGAGGCTGGATGCTTGATGAAGAGCGTGTCTAGGAAGGGTCCTTTTCTGGAAGATCTTTCGATTCGGGTTCCTCCTAAGAAACCAAGCTCAGCTGTTCTTTCCCCTGCAGAAAGTCTGGTTGAAGAACCTGCTGATCTGGGCACTTTGTCGTCTCCATTTTCCATCCCTCGCGCGTCTCAAAACACAGATAATTCGTTACCCCCGGATTCTGAGGAGAAGGAATGTGTTTGGGATGCGTCTTTGCCTCCGAGCGGCAATGTAAGTCCGCATAGTAGCATTGATAGTACTGGTGTTGTCACGGCGATGAGCATTGTTAACAGCTGTGCGAGTACATACCGAAGCGATGCTGTCACTAGCGACGGAATGCTTAGTATGGAGAGGAATTGTGAGAGTACTAAGGGGAGCATTAGAGGGGATTCACTCGAGAGTGCGAAAACTAGTGTTAGTCGAGCGAGTGATAGCAGTGGCCTTAGTGATGATAGTAATTGGAGTAACATCACCGGGAGCGCCAATAAGCCTCACAAAGGGAATGATCCGAGGTGGAAGGCCATTCTTGCCATACGAGCACGGGATGGGATTTTGGGAATGAGCCATTTTAGGTTACTGAAACGACTCGGTTGCGGCGACATTGGGAGCGTGTATCTGTCGGAGCTGAGTGGAACTCGCTGTTTCTTCGCGATGAAAGTAATGGACAAGGCATCTCTAGCAAGCAGGAAGAAGTTGACTAGAGCTCAGACAGAAAGGGAGATATTGCAGCTGCTTGACCATCCATTCCTGCCGACTTTGTATACGCATTTTGAGACTGATAGATTCTCCTGTTTGGTCATGGAATATTGTCCAGGTGGTGATCTGCACACTCTGAGGCAACGGCAACCCGGGAAACATTTCTCTGAGTATGCTGCACGGTATGATTTATGGATGAATTCAGTATCTCCCAAGTTTCTTTTTCCTTCTTTTCTTTTGCCCTTCTTGTTTTTCCACCTTAAGTTTCTTAAAATAACTATAGTTTTTAATTGAATTGAACTAGTTTAAAAAATTATTTGCTTCTAATACTAGTAACATTCACGACCGTTATTTCTGAAGCATAAAATGCTGAATTGTGTTATTGTCAACTGTCGTTATGTTATCATAATGCTTTAGAAGAAAGTTTTATTTGCCATGCAGCAGACAAGATGATTCTGTGCTATGATATTGTGTTCTTAAGCAAATATTCTTTCATTTCATTTCTTTGGCACGATAATAACTATTGTTATCTTCTTTCTATTCGTGCAGATTCTATGCTGCAGAAGTTCTGTTGGCACTTGAGTATCTTCACATGCTTGGAGTTGTCTACAGGGACTTGAAACCTGAAAATGTTTTGGTCCGTGATGATGGCCACATAATGCTCTCAGATTTTGATCTTTCTCTTAGATGCGCGGTTTCACCAACATTGATAAAAATGTCGTTTGATTCTGACCCTTCGAAAAGAGGGGCTGGTGGTGCATTCTGCGTGCAGCCTGCTTGTATTGAGCCCTCATCAGTGTGTATACAGCCTGCGTGTTTTATCCCTAAGATTTTCCCTCAAAAGAACAAAAAGAAGGCCCGGAAACCCCGAGCTGATTTCGGGATGCCTGCAAGTGCACTTCCGGAGCTAGTTGCGGAGCCTACTCAAGCAAGATCAATGTCATTTGTAGGAACCCATGAATATTTAGCCCCTGAAATCATCAAGGGAGAAGGCCACGGTAGTGCAGTCGATTGGTGGACGTTTGGCATATTCCTGCATGAGTTGCTATATGGTAAAACGCCTTTCAAAGGCGCAGGAAACCGCGCGACGCTGTTTAATGTGGTCGGACAGCAACTTAAATTCCCAGATTCACCACCTACTAGTTATGCCAGCCGTGATCTGATCCGTGGTTTGCTGGTTAAGGAGCCACAACACAGGCTCGGGGTGAAGAGGGGAGCAACCGAGATCAAGCAACATCCCTTCTTTGAAGGCGTGAATTGGGCTCTGATACGATGCAGTACGCCACCGGAAGTGCCAAGACCAGTGGAGGCCGAGTTTCCTGGAAAGTTTGGGGCAGTCGACCCCGTTGGGGTAGGCAGCAGCAGTAAAAGGATGGTAGGTGGAGACATGAAGTCAGGAGGTAAATATCTCGACTTCGAGTTCTTCTAGTTTTTGGATCACAGGATTGTTGTGCAAAGTTGTATTAGTACACTAAAAATCAGTTAATTAATCTTGCAAGAGTGCCTCAAAATTGTGCTCTACTAATTAACTCTGCTCATCTATCTTACCTTCTAAAAGGAAATTCCATTTGAATTGGAAAACTAGGAAGTAGCTTAAGTTCATGGAACACGTTGGGATTCTGCCTCTTGGATTTTCTTCCATAGTGGCCTGGTCCCACATTCAAAAATCATTTTGGATGATACCAATGACCAATTCTAGTGTATTAAGTAGAAAACTCATTGTCCATTTAGAATTAATACAAATTCCAATTACTGAAGAAGTTTTGCTTCTATCGCTTATTGTCAAGGTTTCAATACTTTTGGGGCACAAACGATCCATAAACTTGTTAGTTATATATCAGAAAGTGAGTTTTGTATAAACTTGGCCCCGTTCATTTCGCTGATTCGAGTTTAGAATTCGAGTTTTGCTACAGTAAAAAGCTCTCACAAACAATCACATCTAACTTTTTTGCTACAGTAAAAAGCTCTCACATAAAATCACATCTCAACTCGAATTAAAAACTCGAATCAGCGAACTAAACGGAGCTTTCTCTTGTATACTTCATCACTCCTTCACAGAGTCAAAAGAGCTCGTCTTTTGAATTGGAAAAGTATATTCGTAACTGTCCCATTCTGTAAAAATACTACCAATGAGAATCAGAATTAAAAGTGTGAGGTTATTCTCTAAATTATTCTTCAAGTATACATTTTTTATTTTTTTGTGAAAAAGAGACAAATACCCCTTAAAATGCATGAGTTTTGGATTTTTACCCCTTCCACTTCATTAATACCTTTTACTGAGAATTATATTAGTCAAAAAGGTATTAATCAAGAATAAATAGTACAAATCTTATAACAATATATTTAAAAGGTGAGTTTATCAATTTTCTCTTTCTTTATTCTTTATTTTTTTTCCTTTTTCTTTTTCTTCGTTTTGCCCCTGCATGCCCAAGGAATTGAAATAAAAAATCCTGCTCAACCTGACGGGGTTGAGTTGGATAGGTCCCACATGGGTTGAATAAGGGCGCTCAATTGAAATTTGTTCGCGTCTGTAATTAAGTACTTTTGGATCATATTTTTTGTGTCTGATTCAGAGAGGAAATTTATAAAGCAATATCATCTGCCCTAACCTAAAAACCCCAATGCTTAAACCACGCTTAAAAACAAAGCACGAGTTTCACATTATAAAGTCAAAACTATCCACAATCACAACAATTTGAATGATAACATCCGTTATAAAATCACTTAGATTGATGTTTTTCTGTCAATCTAGCCAGCGCAACAATTTGTTTGACGGAATACCAAAAAGAAAAACATGAAAATCATATCAAATTCTTTAAACTTTGGAAAAGTTTCAAGATGTGTCAAGTTCTCCTAAGAGCACAAGCAGAGAGCGCAACCAGCAACATCAAGAGGACAACTGCAACGAACGACGACACCACAGCCCCACTGGCTCCCTGGCAGAAGCCGGTGAACTGCTGGCAAACCGCCATCCAATTGGCGCTTGAATTTCCGTTGTGGGCTAAGTACACTATGGAAGTTGCGGCCGCGGCACACGAAGTGGCTAGAGTCAGCGCCACCTTACAACAACAACTCAAAATTTCATTTTAAATACAGTTTAAGGAAGATTAATGTCAATTAGGCAAAATTATGGCAGCTATTAGAGCTTACTGTGTCTAGAATTAGTAAGGCAAGTCTTGGTGCAGCTGCATGGGGCCGAATAATGGTTACAATTGAGAGTGGAAGCGAGAGCACTAGGTAGCCTCCCACAATTGCCATTGCAATAACAAAAAACCTGCATTTATGTGTGTCGAATTCTGAATATTTATCACCAAAAAACCGGCATTTATTTATAAACAAACCTAGTTCTTTTTTTCTGACAACAGAAATTAGAAAGAAACAAGTGCAATTATAATGGATTTGAGTTTAGAATGTTTTACTCTAATACAATATTAGATAATTAGTAATTTCAGTCCCTTTTTTTTCCTCAGTTTAGATTAATTTTCTTGGATAACTTGTTAACTTGATTATAGAAAGAGACGGAAAGACTAAAAAATTTGAGCACACACATGAAAGTAGGCAAATCGTCATAGCTCGCTTCGAATTGGAAGAACTGAGTGAAAAAGGGAAGAGTCTCATCGGCGGTTCCCATGGTGGCTGCTGCACTGAGAGCAGCCGCTATAGCGCCAAGCCTGAGAACGAAATCGGTAATGGCAATGCCTTTCTTCAATCCTCTCTTCGCAGGCTTCGGAGCAGCTAGCATTGGCACTTTCTCTAGCTTAGCAGCCGTTCTTGTCTCTTGATCAACATCAATTGTGATTGAATCCCTGTTTGCCATTTTTAGTTTCGGAAAAGAAATTAGGACTCTTGAGACTCACAAAAAAAGCTTGTATGTATAAGAAATAGCTGAATTGGAGAAGCTCTTAGATTGGTGTGTGGAAACTAGGTGAACAGATGAGGCTTATATGGGAATCACCAATAGTTGAGTTGGTTTAAGTGTGTCCAAACTTAAGACAACTCTTTTAGAATAATGGAAAATTGAAGTTGTTGCTGACTTTCTCCATAAAGAGTTTAATACAATATTTATAAATCTACGTCTGAACACGAATTGGAGTTGTGACACAGGTATATTTTCTTGAAGTGGTTGGTTCAATTTTAATATTAATCAAGTCAAACCCACTAATGCACAGTCAAACCCAATTTATACATTTCTTTTTTTTTTTTCTTTTTTGAAGGACCAATTTATACATTTCTCTTCCTACAATTTTCTTTTAATAATTTTTTTTAACAAATTGTTTCATTAATAAACAATTTATAGTACGTTTTGTGATTAATGTCGTATCTTATGTAAGATATATATGTATATATGTGTGTATATAAATATAGTAAATTTATATGTCATATGATATCCATAAAGTTTTAGTAGGATATAATGATATTATGATTAGAAACATTAAAACTACTCAACTAGACAACTAATCTCCCTAACCCAATAGTGCCGGGGTCTTCTCCTCTCAGAAGAATACTATCTATAAACTGCATATGAACTATGATAACCTTTTCTTTCGGCCAAAGTAGTTGAAAAAGATTGAATATAATCGAAAACAACCTTGTTTATCTGTAATGAGCGAAAAAAAAACGTTGTTTTATTGTACTATTAAAACAAAAACAAAAAAAGGAAAGAAAACCTTTGCAATGTTTTTTTGGTTTATTTTAAGGGTTTTACGGTAAGGTCTCACAGTAAGTTTTTTATTTTATTTTTAATACTGTTGAATCTCATAAAAATCGCATCAAAATAAAAATATATGCAAAACATATGGTTCTTGATATTTATTTAACGGTTTAAAACAGAAAATTACTGATAGTTTATTTTTCAAGAGCCACCATAAAAATCTATTTATTATTATTATTATTATTATTATTATTATTATGACACTAATACGTCTTGCACTGATTGTAGTCAAAATGAAACTTCAAATTTTGGCACCAACCTCGTTAATTTTAAATTCTTGGAAAATTACTCTAAATTAATATCGATTGGTATTCTTCGTATAGGAATTAGCATGTACACTGCAAGAGCCGTTTATCTTTAATCTTTGACACTTGGGACGTTTTCAATGGATAATGCCGGAGCTCCCCTTTAAACGAAACGTTTTGTACGTCTCAAACTTTTATTTTTTGGGTAATTGTCCAGAACTCTAGGCATAGTGATAGTTTAGTCGTTAATCCTTATTTTAGTCCTTAAATTTTTATTTTTAATTGTTTTCGTTTCTGAAAATAAAATTGACGAATGATTTTTAAAATTTAACAAAAATAATTGTGTCAATCACATGATAACTTGAAATTTTACAGAAATAGTTACATTACATATAAAATTTTCTCTTTGTTACTATTAACGGTCGTTAAAATATTTTAACAAAGATAATCACGTGTTCATCACATGATAACTTGAAATTTACAGACATAAATAGTTATATTATATGAAAATTTTCTCTTTATTACTATTTAAACTCGTTTAAAATTTTAATAATTTGCCCTTACTGTACCTATTCATGTAAAATTTTGACTTATTATGTGATAAAGAATGTGATTGTATTCGTTAAATTTTAGAAATCTCTCGTCATGAATTTTAGTGTCGAAACGGTTGCTTCATATCCTGTTTGACAGCAAGAATTACAATGCTAGCTATGAGTGATTATCTTCTTGGTTTTTAATCTTTATTAAGGTAAGTAAAAATTTTAATTGTGTCACAAGAATTAACCATAATTTTGGTGCATGGTTTCTACGAGTATATGATCTACATACTCATTGCAATGTATTAAATATAAGTATTCGTTCAAGGGATTCATATTCTGCACATAGTACATTTATTAAGTATGTGATTTTTTTTTAAAACTATACATATAGTACCTTAAATTTGTGAAAGGATATGAAAATGTTAAAAGAATGATTTTATGAGATTTTTAAGTGAGTTTGGCATGCGATCAGACAAACAATTAAGAGTCCGTTTGGTTCATAAATTAGAACCATGTGATTAGAACTATTTTTAATTTACGTGTATTTTTTGTGAGAAAAAATACTGTAGCGAACCACGAATCATGATTCGAATCAAGAAACAAATCCTTCTACCAAACATTACCTAAGATGAGACGGGGCTAAATTTTAGAAGAATAAGAGTTTACAAGACAGAGACTTGATTCATATGACGGAATGACTTTGATAGAAGTCACTTTAAATGAAGATAAAATGATATCAATGTTAATAATAAAAAAAAAAAGAGATTTGGAGACCAGTCTCATAAAATAAAGAATATTTTTATTACTAACGGGGGCGTGCCTAAGTACAATAAGAAGACGGAAACACGCCAAGCTCAAGACCAGTACAAACTCAAAAGTGATATTATTATTGTTAGCGTCGGTCCCGTTCACTTCACCAATTCGAGTTTAGAATTCGAGTTTTGTTACAGTAAAAAGCTCTCACAAACAATCACATCTAACTTTTTTGCTACAGTAAAAAGTTCTCACATAAAATCACATCTCAACTCGAATTACAAACTCGAATCAGCGAAGTGAACGGACCCGTAGTTTGTGCACAACGCTCAAGGTTAATAAACTCCAATAATACAATATAGTACCACACATTCACATGTAATGACATTTTATTACAAGAATACTAATAGTACATTAGATATTAAGGCCTCGTTCATTTCACCGATTCGAGTTTTTAATTTTAAGTTTCTACAGTAAAAAGCTCCCAGAAAATGTCACATCTAACTTTTTTTGCTACAGTGAAAAGCTCTCAAAAAATGTCACATCTCAGCTCAAATTGAAAACTCAAATCTGCGAAGTGAACGAGGCCTATATTAACCCATTTTTAATACCAATAGCATAATATATCTTTCACATTCTTTGCGAGGAGATATAGATTAAAGAACTAATTAGTGTTAAATTGTTTTTTTTAAAGAAAACTCGGTATCTTTTATTGTTATTATTATCATATCAAAAAAAAGTATTATTAATATATCATTTATAGCAATCTTCATGCCAGACTTGCAGTGGCTAGGAATGTTGCAAATGACGTCTCGTTTATTTTGCAGATTTGAGTTTTTAATTTGAGTTGAGATGTGATTTTATGTGATAGCTTTTTATTGTAAAAAAAAAATTAAATATGACTTTTTATAAGAGTTTTTAACTGTAACAAAACTGAAATTAAAAATTTAAATCAGTGAATTGAACGAGTTCTTAATAGCCTTATCTTGTCTTTGCCTGACCTGTACACCTTTGCCATTGGAGGGGTTGTACACCTGACATAACTGCAAAATGAGGGATCATAGTTGAAAACTGCAAAATAATAATAAAAATAAAAGACACCAAATTTAAGGTGTTTATTTAGGCACATTTACTTTCTTAAATAAGTAATGAATATATATATATAGGATTATACCTAAAAATATGCACGAATTCCTAATGAAGTTGAATACAGAGCTCCTATTATATCAATAAGATTTTTATTTTCTTTCCTATTAAATTAAGAGTATTTGCGATTGCATGGCCTAAATAAACAAAATTATTATTATGTATTTATTTTTTAAAATTACTGTAAGGAGCATCGTTTTGCTCTATTGGTAGAATACTTTTTTTAATTAATTTTATTTAAAATTTAATGGTATGATTTATAAGTGAGAATATTTTTATATCGTATGATCGCTATCTATAAGATTAATTCTATAAATACTTCTTAAATTATACACCATATTTCAATATGCTCTCTGAAGTTTGAAAATGTTTCATTTCGCTTCTTGAATTATGTACAGTTCAAAATACTATCTTTATTTATAATATTACAAAATAATAATGTCACACTATTTATAATTTTATAAATGCCCTCCTAAAACTCTTGATTTAAGTGAACTTGCCCCCCGATCTATTGATTTTGTATCAATTTATTTCATTTTTTTAGATTAGAAAATATATTATTTTTTGAAATTTGTGTCAAAACTTGCCCCGAACTATTGATTATGAGACCTTTACTTTATTAGGATAAAATAACGCACCCTACCGCATATTGTTTTTAGTTTTATTAGCAGCAAAACTAGCTAGGTGGAACCTTTATATATAACTAGTCCATGGAATAAAAGTTAAAAAGTATATATCACAATGTAACGAATACGTAGTTACAGTGATAGCGTTCAGTTGTGCTTAAACATATTTTTAAATAACGATAGACATCAAAATTGCTTTATAATTAAATTATATATAAGTTTAATATGTTAATAATGTGTTTGGAACTTTCTACTATCAGTAGTGTATTGTGATAGTTCAAAAAGTATTCTATCGGTAAGGTATTTTTTCATATGTCTTACTAAAATTTCTTATTTGAAAGTAGTTTGTGTACTAATTATGTACATATATAACTTGATCAAAGCATTATAATTCTTTTGTAATAGAGCATATGCACGTCAAAAATGTTTTTGTATAATTCCACTAAGCTTCAAGAGTTGATTGGTTGGTAAGAAAGAAAGAAAAAAAAAAAGGCTAAAAAAAGCTTACAGAGCACGCATTACAACAATTAAGCCCATTTGCGACGATGTTTTTTGCGACGACACTACAACATTTTTTGCGATGTACATCGCCGGCTCACCCACCAGCGCCTCCGACCGTGTAAGTGGCTGCAGCTTCAACACATTCCAAGTTAGCCACCATCACAACCAGTACAAGGCCTACCATCATCAGGATAATTGCACTGCCTCTTTCCGTGGACATTTTTTTTTTTCCTAAAATTTCCGTGGACTGTAAAAAAAAAAAAATTAATAATAATCTACTAGAGTTCTAAGGAGATCTAAGACAGACAAATTAACAGAGAAAATGAAACAAATTACTATTTGGGGATGAGATCGTAGATATTGAGATTTTGATAGTTGGTTATTTATGTGGAGTGGTAGTCTCTGACCCCATTTGGTCAATTAAACAATGGTGGCTTTTGGAGGGGTTTTAGTGACTAGTTTGGACCCGAAATGTGGCTTTTGTGGGGTTTAGTCATTAGAACCTGGGATTAAGAATTATGTTGGACTTTCACTACGAAAATATCTTAAATTATCGGAAGAGCCAATACTTCTAACTATCTAACTAGAATAGGTTGGGAAATTAGGGGTATGATTCTCTATCTAATCACAGGTGGGTGCACAATCCAAAAATGTGTTGACTGTTGAATGCTCGTGAAAATGGAATCCATCAAATGGCACATCCGTGAACTCTTTAGTTTGTTTTATTTATGGGACGTTATTTTCATCAATAGTCCTCAAAAAATGTATTTGTCTCAATTTATTCCCCAATATCTACCATTTAAAGCTTAAACTATATTTATGTTTTTGAAATATACATTTTTTGTCAGTTTGTTAGGAAATTTTCTGTTTTTTAGATAAAACATAGGACGAAAAATGGAATGTATATAAGGATTTTAATTAAGATAAAATGGTGAAAAAAATAGATCTAAAAAATACATATTCTAAAAAAAATAAAATCGAAATTGGGTTGTTGCAAAGTCCAGTTCGTTATTTTAGAATTTTTTTTTTTTTGAATCCGCTTTGTTTTTTTTAAAATTTTTTTATTTTTATTATTACCACTTGATCTCTCTACAAACCCTTATGTATCATTATTGGGTTATTATTATCCTGGCGATACCTTGTCTTTTGATGTGGTATCAAAACAATAATGCACACAAAATTTATCTTCACACTTAAAATGTATATTTTATATGCAACTGATATCCATATTATCAAATAGAATATAGTCGGCATAAAAATATTAGTGTTGCTTGGAAATACACACCTAGCTATGTGCCACATATATATACATTGTTGCGTTTTCACATAATATAGATGTACTATTTAATTTATACAGTTATGGGAAACTCATAATACGCAAGAAAATTCTATTATATATTGCTAAATAGATACAAATAATTATGTTGATTCATTATTCTTTTATGGTAACCTGAGACGATTCTTGGAAGTTTATAAATATTTAAAAAGCCTAATCTGTTACATAAAAACAGTTTTCAAAAACAGAATTTTCAACAAATGGTACATATCTGAGCGGTCTCATGATTATGTTATATAAAAAAAATCGTCTCTTCTAACTTTCAATTCTTATACTCATAGATAATTATTTGTTAGAGAGATGACACTCTAAGTTCTTCCCTACTAGTTTATTGCTTTCTTAGAATTTTTGTAAGGCGGGAAATTTTCAATGTAATTAATTCTTGAAGATAGAGGCACATGGAAAAGAAGATCCAAGAAGAGCGTAAAAAAGAAATCCCAATTAAATTTATTTTTTTTTAATTTCATTTTCTGAGGTTAATTTGCAAGGTTTCTGAATGATGACTGTTATAAATGCAATAAACAAAACAAAAAAATAAAAAAGGAACTGAGGGTTCGTTTTTATGAGAGTTTATCTTTTTCGAAACAAGTGTAGTTTCAACGTTGGTAACAAGGACTATTTGTTGCATGGTAAATGGCCCAACATGGGCTTGCACCGATAGTGCATGCAAACTGCAGTCCAGGTACCGTGATGAACATGAACGATTTAAGGCCCATTTAGTTTGTTAATTTGAGTTGAGATGTGTAATTTTATATGAGAATTTTTTATTATAATAAAAAGGTTAAATGTGACTATTTTTTAAAACTTTTTATTGTAATAAAACTCGAATCGGTGAAATGAACAAAGCTTAATTTGAATGGCTGCTATTTGTCATTTGACATATAGTTATATTAATCTCAATTCATTCAAAAAAAAAAAAACATGGTGTAGTGTCACTTCAAAACTATACGTACGTGCACAACTATCGAAGCATCACATCTTAAGTTCACAAGCAGTCTGCTCCACCAAATAATTTATATATTTTCAATTCCATTATCAATATTATTGTAATTCTGCTTAGTTATATAGAAAATGTGCAACGTACAGGACACCTTTTTATCTTTGCTAAAAGTCGTTCTTCGGTCCTTGATTTGGAGTGTACTAACTAATTTTCTTTATCTTCTTTGATCATTGTAGCACACCACCATGAAGCATCGCTTAGAAAAACAAGTACAATATTAAGGAATCAATATTCAATATATATATATATATATATCAACTTCATACACGATATCGTGCTATTATAAGCATGAGGACAAAATTTTGGATATTTCTTACAACCACAAGCCCAAAGAGTAGGAATCTTGCAGCTACGCACGATCGATTGTGCCTAAAATCAAGAGACTAAATAAAAGAATAAGTATTATACCCTTGGTGTTAATATCATTTGATAATGCCCTATATAGATGAATAAAATTCAAGATTTGTATATATCGCAGTCAAGTTTAATGCAAAATTACTAGTATTAATGTTGCTCATTCTATACCAACTTCAATAAGGATCATATACATACATATTACATATGATATGATTATAAAGTAATATTATCTAATTAAACTATACACTATGTTATAGAAAAAAAAAATTAAAAAAAAAAGTGTCCTCAATTAAGAATTCGAAGAGATCCCCACACCAAGAAAATCTATGAAATGAACTTCTTTGGCTTCAAGGTTGGATTGATGATCATCATCACCTTCTTGCCCTTGCAATATTGTACTACTACTTGCCCTTAACTTTCCATACGTAGCTCTTGGTGTAACCTTATCACAAAAGCTATTATTTCTATTTGCTAATAATAACGTCTGATGATCTCTCTGCATCTTGCAATTCTTGCCTAATATTCCATAGTGATTATATTGATGATATTGAAGATGATCAAAAGGTCTTGAAACATGGACCCTCTTGTTGTAATTATTTCCTCCGAACCATGAAGAAGAATTACTTGGGTACAATGATCTGTAGTAATTATGATCAGAAATAGGATTACCACACTTAAAGAATTCTCTCTCACCATAATCTTGATCTCTTCTCATGAAAAAACGACCCTCTAATACTGGTTTAGCACTAGCATTTGTTGTCGCCATCGTCGTCGTCGAAGCAAAGTTCCAATTAGAAGGAGGAGAAGAAGTTGTACTAGAAGGAGACTCCGAGAGCAACATCCTATCTTTATCGATCATGACTTGCTTGAAGTACTGATGACCATGATTATGATAATGATCGATATTATTATCATAAATTCCAAAGCTAGTAATTTTGCGGGCCGGAAAATTCCCCTCGGAATCGTTGCAATAAACATGATCTTGTAATTGGCATGAGCTTCTTTTCCCGCAAAGCTTGGATTCTTCCCTTTGTTTTCTGGCCATTATAACGTGCCAGTGATTCTTCACAGCATTATCTGTGCGTCCAGGGAATAACCTAGCTATTAACGCCCACTTGTTGCCATGAATTCTATGAGCTGCTAGTAATTTTTCCTCTTCTTCTTCAGTAAATGGCCTTCGGTTAATTCTGGGGTCGAGCTGATTAAACCACCTCAATCTGCAACTCTTTCCTAAAACCCCAAAAAACAAGCAATTACGACGTTAATTAATGTTATATATTAACTCTATCAAAAGTTGTAATATATAGAGTAAACTTTAACGTTATTTAGATTTTGTCTCATAAAAATATTGTACTGCCCTTTTTAGCGTTAGATGTTATGTCAATACTCAATATAAATATAAATATATAATATGATTTAATTCGATCGATAAAGCAAAATGAAGATTAAACTTAAAGATTCAGAAACAATTCACATCAATAGTATTGAATAGATACGATACCATAACGTAAAAATATCTAACGATTGAGAAAAATTCAGTAAATCCATAAGAAAGAAAAGAATAAAAATTCACTAGATAGAGCTATTTGAATCCCTAAATGATTCCAAAAATTGATGATTAATAATATATATAAGTAATTAAGTACCTGATCTTCCCTGGAGCTTTTCAGCGATTGAGTTCCAGTTCTGGGCACCGTACTGTTCCACCAGCTGCCGGAGCTTTTCGTCCTCGGCAGGCCTCCAGTGGCCTCGGGGACAACTCTTTGCATCGTCGGCAGATGAGTTTGTTGGGCCGGCTGAGTCCTCCATGGCGCGCGGCGGCTGTGGCACGATTTTCGGATTCTATAGCGGCCGGGGACTGAAGATTATATGATCTAATATTTAATTAAGAGAAAATTATTGTTGCTGTTATTGTGGATATGAAATTACACCACACAAAGAATAACTAGTCCACAAGAAGATATATAAGAGAAAGGGGGGGCTAAGAGAAGAAATGAAGTACACCCAACAGAATAAGAAAGTGGTGGGAGGGGTTAGTTGGTTTAGGATTAATTGTGGATGAGCAGTCACTTTTGTTGGTTTTACACGACACTTTTTTTTTTCTTTTTTTTTTTTTTTTTCCCTGTGTGTGTGCGTGTGTTATATGTGTAGGAACTGTAGAGCCAAAACTGACTTTTCTTCTTCTTCTTTTTCTTGTCATATATGTTCGCCCATTAAACTTCTTATAACCCTAGTTTTTTTATAAAATATTCTCTCTCTCTCTCTCTTTCTTTTCTCTCATACACAAACAGATATATTCAAGCTAGCGACGGTGAACAGCAATTGTACAGCTTATGGTGGTGGTGACATATCTCCTTGTGCTGCAAAAAGGAAAAAAAAAAAAAAAGGCACTCCTATAGAGAATTCGGAATTAATAAAAACTTTGAGGAGTGCCGCCTAGTAATTTTTATCTGAGTTTTTTTTTTTTTTTTTTTTGGTTGAAATTGTTTGAAAAATTGCTAAATATTATAAGATAGTCACTAAGCACAACTATTTGCGTTCCTTTGACCCCAGGCTTTTTTTTTTCCTTTCCTTTTTTTCACAAAAATTATTCCCTCAACTTGATTTTGTTGGCAGTTTAGTTCTTGATATTAAAATTTGGGAAAATATCTATGCAATTTAACTAAAATAATCTCCTCCCAATCGAATAGTAACTAGAAATTTGACATAAACAGTTAGATTAAATGTAAAATGTTCTCTTTACTATTGTTAAAAACCCATACAAATTATTAGTCTTTTGCATTAAATGTAACCGTTTTGTAAAACTTTCAATTACTATACAACAGGGATGAGAATATCTCTCTAAAATTTCAGAAATTTTCGTCAATTTTAATATTAGAGACTAAAACTGCCGTAAAATAAAATTCAGGTAACAATTTGTAAAGAAAAAATTCATGGACTACTGTAATTAATACAAACTTGATAGTTCAGATGGTAGTAATGTCCTTTTTATATATTATTCCCTATCACATATTCTAATAGCTTTGCCATTACTATCTATTATTATTATTATTATTATTATTATTATTATTATTATTATTATTATTATTTATGTTACTCTTTATGATCTTTATATAATTCGTACAAAAGTCAAAATCGGTATTGGCAAATTAAATTAGTGGAAACTTTAGAAGCTATGGTAATTGCATATGTATTTTTCAAACGTTACAACACACAAATATAATCATGTAATTATATTTCTTCAGGAACCAAGTGCCCAACCTTCGTTTGTTCAAAAGCTACAGTTAGTTCCTTCTCTAATTGAATAGGCATTTCTTTTGATAAGCTGTATTGCCTTCGGGCTGGATATTCTTTTGTTTCGTTTTTAATTTTGTTTTTTTTAATTATTATTTTGTATTTTGTTTCTTCTTTTCGATATATTAGAGTACTTGGGGTTATAAAGAATGAGTCACTTAATGGGTGCCACCTAATCAGAATGTACTAAGGGCTGATAATTTAAGTTACGATACGATAACACGACTCGAAATCCGTACGAAATTAGAGGGTTTAAGTTTTTCTTTAAATCGGTCTAGATAAAAAAAGGGTTGAACCTGCCAAACACGATTAAATAAAGTGTCAATACAACACAAACCCTCCAACACGAAATTAACCCGTTTAATAAGCGCGTCATAAATAGGTTGACATAAACGCGACACATTTTTAACTCATTTAATACCTATTTTATTTAGATATGTATAAATATATTTTTTAAGAAAAAAATAGATGATATATAAGGAAGGCCCTAGGGTTTCCTCACATTTTTATGGAATTTCTGTTTGCAGGTTGACACGATACGTTATTGACATGTTTAATAAACGGGTTGGTCGTGTCGTGTTCTTGTCAATCTTATAATAAAAGAGTCGTGTTTGGGTTTCTTATTCTGATACGATTATTAAATGGGTCATGTTCGTATTAAGGGTTATAGTGTCAATAGAGAAATATGATGTGACACGAACCCAACACGACAACACCAATTGTGACCCCTAATACTAACTATATATGTCCTGATAATAATTATCCTTTCTCATTCTTCACTTAAATGTATATATATATACATGCAAATTCCAACTGCATACATATACACGTACATATATTTTGTTATGCGAACTGGATTGAGGTCAATGGGCATAATATTGTATAATTGTCAAATATTCGGCTTTAACTATATCTATACAAAATATAGAGGTCCACATTAGTCAAAGTTAAAGTTAGTACGTAATTTTTCTTGAAAAACGTGGTATGCAATTAGTTAAACTGATATGCGCCAACGCAGACTGTAAAGATTTTGATCAAATATAAAAGTTAATTTTCAATTAAAAAGCAGAAATTCTTTTTCTAATCATTTCTTACCGTTCGATCTAATTAACATTACATTAGATTAAAAAATAAGTAAAATACAATTTCTGGATCTGTCAACTGAAAATAAATAGACTTTTCGGTAGTTATGTTTACAAGAGCTATCCTTGGTAATTAATGTAGCAACAAAACATAAACACATGACGACTTATCCATCTTTTATGGACCTGTGGCTTCGTTGTTCATTAATGGAAAGTTCGGTTTGTTCATTAATTAAGTGTCCTACTATATTTAACTAGCTACTTGCACTAGAAAATGTCTCCATTGGATTAAGAAATAATGCGCATCATCTAATGTGCTGCTGATCCATAATCTTTCTGATCATTTAGAATTTCTGCACGCTACTTTTTAAAATTTGTGCTTAATTATATGGATGCACAAAACTAAATTTTGATTAGGTGCCGAGTAAGGTCCGTTTGGTTCCTAGATTCACTCCCTGATTCGAATCATGATTCGTGGTTCGCTACAGTATTTTCTCTCACAAAAAATACACGTAAATCGAAAATAGTTCAAATCACATGATTTGAATCCATGAACCAAACGGACCGTCTTCGAAGTCCATATATACAACCCAAAAAATTATATTAACTAAATTTAGGAATTTAAGTGAGTGATCATAAATCAAGTCATGCCTGATCATATATATGTAGTTTGTTATTCTTAGTCTTATTCTAAAATTGATATTGATTAAGAGCTACCACATAAAAAAAGTAAAAGAAAAAAAAAACTCAGACGCTTTGAAAGGAAATATATATAATTCTAGGATTTTTTTTTTTTTTTTTTGCAAATTATATATATTTTAGTTGGTCAAATATTAACAAATGGCAAGAAATAATAATTAAGAAGAACTGTCAAGCTCATGTGAATCTGATTAAATGCCGTGCAACTACAGCATTAAGGAAAGGAAAAGGGTAAAACGTCCATATAATTTTCCCAACACTTCCATGCAAGATGGCAGGTCAAATAAAAACACTGAAAGAATTTTGAAAAATTGAAAAACGATTAATGTACAGCGTCAAATTAATAATACTAGAGAAATGAATTAATAATCATGGGTTTCTTAAAATGGTTGAGATTTCATACCCCACGAAATCAAACACTCTTTTCCTCATCTAAATGGTCTTATGAATAAAAAAAAAATCTTATCTATGAACATCAACCATTAACCAATTAAGCAACACACCAATTCAGTCGGTATGAAATCAGTGTCGAAATGCTATTGGTGGATGTATCTATCCAACTGGTCCACTCTATCGCTTTTTTTTCTTTTCATATATATAAACTTGAATAATTAGTTTCAAAGTTTAATTTTTTGTGATGTATTAGCATTCTTCTAATTTGTTTACAAGTTATAACAAACTAATTTGGGTAGGCAACTGGGCAAGATATATATATATATATATATATATATAGCCATGCATATATTACAAATTATGGTTATTCCTATTTCTCAAGAAGTTAAAAACTCGTCCATATATACTTTTATCATATTGAGCTGCCAATTAGAAAAAGAGTACTGTATACAACAACATGAAATAAAAGTGACTTTTTTGTTCGTATAATACATTCTTGGTTCATTTTCTAAACCCTGCATTAATATTTATTTTTGTTTATGCATTGTAATTACTTTGTTACGACTAATCATAGGTACGTTCCATTGAAATATTATCATGTGCATAAATTTAATTAGTAGTGTTCTGGTAGAATATAGTTGAACTCATAATTAATCTTGACCACCTAATTTTCATATCAAACAATTGCTTTTGGTTTGTGCAATCTAAATTAGGATACCGTACGCATAAAAATGATTGAACATGATTGGAAATGGAAAATATATTAGCTAGCTAGCTAGCAAACCGAAGTCATCAAAGTACTAAGCCAACCTAAAAATTAATTAGTGTACAACTTTTCAAATTGTGATAGATGCAAATCATGGATTCTACCAAAAAAAAAAAAAGAAAAAAAAAGATGATGCAAATCAAGGAGGGTAGCTTTTAAACTGAACTTGTGTGGCCTAGTTCGAGGTGACATCTCTAATTTGATTAGATCGATCGATAGCAACAAAATTCTCTTATGGTTGAAACAGATCATATATCCACCTTAAAATGGAGGAGATTTTATAGAATATATGCGTTAGGACACAAGGAATGTTATAAAGGGCAAAAATGCAAAAATATTAGGCCCCATTTATGACAGAAAATGATATGCCAACCAATTACCACAATTAGCATCATATGGAATTATCATAAGAGACTGTTCTAATTTAACGGTTTCAGTTTTTTTTTTTCCCAAAAGTAATTAAATTAAAGAAAATGTCAAAATTTGTTATGTTGGCCGTGTTTAGCACCCCGGTTGCATTTACTTCTTGTATATATTCCGGAAAAAAAAAAAGAAAAAAGAAAGAGAGACATGCTTATTGAAGAATATAGTAACATAATCTATGGATTATGCATCTTCTTTATGACTTTGCAGCAAATTAATCTACTTGTTTTGAGTAATCCTTTCTAGTTTTCTGGGGTCGATGCTCCAAATCATAATTGATATCCCAAATTTTACATATTTTATTATGTTGGAATATTTTTATGGGAACTTCCATAA